CTTCAGTGCCACTTACACGGAAGCTGGCAGGTTCAAACCCAACCCCGGCTAGCTAAAACAATGACAACTACAACAACAACAACAACAACAAATAGCTGAGTGTTGTAACGGGTACATATAGTCCCAGCTACTTGGGAGGCTGAGGCAAGGGAATGGCTTAAGCCCACAAGTTGGAGGTTGCTGTGATGCCACAGCACTCTACCCAGGGTGACAGCTTGAGATTCTGTGTCAAAAAAAAAGAAAAAAAAATCTATGTATGAAAACTATTTCCTATCTCTACAAATAAACTGAGGCTCAGAGGACTAGACATGGTGGCCTCACACCTGTAATCTCAGCACTTTGGGAGGGTGAGACTGGAGGATCACTTCAGGACAGGAGTTCAAGACTGGCCTGAACAATACAGCAAGACTCCATTTCTACAAAAAATAAAAGAAAAAAACAAAAAAGGTCAGAGATATTCATCTGTAAGAGCTATTGGATGGCTTAAAACCTGAGCAATATAACCCTACATACCACAAACTTACTGCTCCCTCCTGTCTCTTGGAAACCAAACTTACTTAGACAAGCCCCTTAGCCTCTCTGAAATTCAGGGTTATCACCTATCTCATTGAGTTTTTAATGTTAAAAAGTAACATATTTTAACATAAAAATCTAACATAAGGCACTTAATACTTCCATACTCATCCTTAATCAAAGCAGTTATTTTCCACTTGACCAAGTTTCACTCTCATTAAAGTGATTCAACCTGTGAAGTATTATTACTGTTCATTAGCATGGGCATCCTATAGGTGCACACTTAGGTCTATTTCTAAAGGCAAATTTGTTAAGATACCTCATTTTTCCAGGAGTTCTACTGACCTAGTCACATTGATGTAGGTGACACTATGTCACACTGACAATTGTGACAACTGTATATTTCTATAGATAAGCAAAGAAAAGCTAAGCCTCCTTCTAATAATCTTCTTGCTCTTTTTTTCGTATCCCCTGAGTGTAAGAGACCACACAGAAACTTATAACCTAATAGAAAATATTTTTTAAGATATTAATGCCCTAGGTGTAAAACATAAGCAAAGTATATAGCATTTTCCCTTCATCTTTTTCAATATCTCTTCTGAAAAATTATATCCATTTTCTTCTCAC